TGTGTGTGTGGTGGGGTCGGGGGGGGGCTGCTTTCAGTAGAACAACTAAAAATGAACATAAAAGATGCAAATTTGCTTTCATTAGAACAACTAAAAATGAACATAAAAGATGCAAAACCAATCTGCAGGGGTTCATCTAAAATGTATGGCCGCAGATACAGAATACGATATATTGCCAGGCATATAATGCCAAGACATCAAAATTTTCCTAGGGTAAAGAATAGTATTATGCTCTCTAACGATAAATGCTCTATACAGGATCCCTGGAGGTCTATTGATTTCTCGAGTATACAGACCTTATCATTAACAAATACAGAAAATTAAAGGCACTAGCACAAAACGATATGGGCTAGCTCACCTCATTCTTCCACTTGTCACAAATGTGTCAGCGTGCCTTCATTGTGTAGTATTGTGAATACAACATTATGCAAAGTTTGTAGAAAATATTTTCATGAATCAGAATAATATCTCCTTCAAAATTAGGAGGACCAGCATTATGAAGCACATGATAACTAGAGCTGTGGCACACATGACCATTCCACCTTGTTTCTGGGATCGTTCAGCCTGCAATCCAATCAAGCCCAACATAACATTAAATGAAATGACTGCCCTAATCAAGAAAACATTAAATGAAATGACAAATCAGACTGTAAAGCTGGACAATCTACGAATTAGAAGGATGCAAAGGAGAAACCACGGTGAGACCTTTTGCAGTTGTTTAAGACCTTCCTCAACTGTTGAAGCCACATTTTGAACGTTGTAGTCTATCCTATCTACGATAGTACCCTGTATTTAGACATTAGTTAAGTACAGCAATAACCCGTGCTGAAGCACAACTTGGTGAATATGAAAAAGGTGTTGTCAGTTCAAACCTGGTCTATCACCAGAACTGACAGATCTTTCATAATTTGGGCAAGTTCATTGACCGATTCAACAACCTACCATATAAGCACATGAAGGCTAAGTTAGAAAACAACGATATGCACATTTCAGATAACCACTGAGAAGCAGCAACGAATATCACCTGCTGTATTTCTCTCTCTCTTTCGACTGTGAATGCCTCGCTTTTCTTTAGCTTGGCCATCTGATGCTCATTAAATCCCTGGAAAGACATTTAGTACAGTCAAAGTTTTCTCGTGAGAAAAACTCTCCAAGGTATCTCCTAAAACCATTCTTCAAAGGCAGCAACGAATTTTAAGGATGTAAAACCCCAACGACCCTCCAACCACAGCCATACGAAATAACGTGAGTTCCAAAATGAGAGAAGCCAATCAAACAAATATCATAAAAGATTAGGCTCTATTGCCAAAAGTAACTGATGTTAAAACAACAATTCATTTTCTTTCTTTACACCTTAAGCGTTCACCTGAGATAGTACCAGGAACATTCAGTCCCCACGATACTGCTTCAGCTGGTATCACAATTACTCAACTCATGTCTGATCACTTCCAGCATAACATAAATAGTTGCCTAATTCTCATTCATATAGTGCACATAGTTTTTATTGGTGAGGCTCTGTTTTACTTTGCTGATCAAGCATTGATATTAGCACAACGAAGTTATCAGACCATTAGATCTACATCTCCTGATTACGTTTTGCAGGAGATAATACCAAAGAGAAGTAAGAAATCAAATTTATATGTATATATTACAAGTTGCATACCAAGTCATCCAAATCATCATCATCCCTTCGAGAATGGCTCCCATTTAAGTTCATTTCCAAGTCAACTCCATCTGGACCCTACATGAAAAGGCAACATTTAAAGAAAGTTTGCAAGGATATATTTCAGGAATGCAAAAGAGAAAACCTTCCTAGTTTAAACACAGGCAGCATGACCATCCATAAAATAAGAGTATAGGCAGAATCAACAGTTTAGCTAATATACTCTAGACAACGTAGTGACAGCACAAGGGATGTTATAAACTAAAGGTCCACAATAAGTGACTGATTGCTTTTTTATTTTGGTCCAAAATAAGTGTCCATTTATATAATCAAGAAAGAATTCAATTTGTTTTTACAAAATTACCCTTATGTACATATCCCTAAAAAGTTTTCTTACTCCTCACATTAAATATTTAATTAAGGGTAGTTTAGTCATACTAGGTATTTTTGTATAGAATTTAGTATTTTCTTAATGGGCGTGCCAAAAGCAAATTGGTCACTTATTGTGAACCGGAGGGAGTAGGATTTTGATCCATGCAATCTCAACTGCAAATAAGACTTTCTCCTGCTAATACCTACTGCTAACAGATTGTGGCTCAGGCCAAAAACTATGTGTACACACCTCTTTCTGCTGCTGGAGCCGCTTCAAATAAGTAGATTGTTTTTTGCGAAGCTCCATTGAAAGGCTTTGAAGATCTGTAGCAAGAGAGCGCTGTCATAGGAATATCACATTGTAAGCACAAATACAGTATGCAATTGTTTCAATCAGAATATTGAAAATCGAGCAAAAAATGTAGTTTAAACAAACACTCGTTACTAATGAAATGGAATAGAACATTGAAAGACACCTAATCAGCCATGCCCTTATCAAGTTCATAAAAGTAGAACACATCACATTTCTTTGTGAAGTTTCCATGTCACTCCCTCTTCCCAAATCAAGTAAACCAAATTGGCCGTAAGTTTAAGAGTAAAATATTGGCATGAATACATAATCCCAGTTCAAAAAGATTGAATACATAATTATGTTGCGTTTGGTAGAAAAACATTTAATATAATAATTTGAACGTAAGAAGTGAGGAAGTTGCTGAAAAGATGTCACATCAAGCTTTAATAATATAAAATAATGGTTCTGCCA